CAGTGCTCCCAGTATCCTCCCAGTCACCCCCCAGTGCTCCCAGTATCTTCCCAGTCTACCCCCAGTGTCTCCCCAGTGCCACCCCAGTGCTCCCAATACCCTCCCAGTCACTGATCCCAGTGCTCCCAGTGCTCCCAGTCACTGATCCCAGTGCTCCCAGTGCTCCCAGTCACTGATCCCAGTGCTCCCAGTGCCCCCAGTCACTGATCCCAGTGCTCCCAGTGCCCCCAGTCACTGATCCCAGTGCTCCCAGTCACTGACCCCAGCGCTCCCAGTGCCCCCAGTCACTGATCCCAGTGCTCCCAGTATGGGTTTTATTGGTCTGGGGGCAGAGCGGGGTGACCCCCCCATAGACCCAGTAGCACTGGTTGAGCTGGGGGTGCCCAGTGCCACCAGTGCCCCCAGTGCCAGATCCCAGTGCTCCCAGTGCCCAACTCCCAGTACTCCCAGTGCTCCCAGTACAGGCTTTACTGGTGTGGGGGCACAGTGGGGTGACCCCCCCATAGACCCAGTAGCACTGGCTGAGCTGGGGGTGCCCAGTGCCACCAGTGACTGATCCCAGTGCTCCCAGTGACTGATCCCAGTGCTCCCAGTCACCGAATCCCAGTACTCCCAGTGACTGATCCCAGTGCTCCCAGTGACTGATCCCAGTGCTCCCAGTGACTGATCCCAGTGCTCCCAGTGCCAGATCCCAGTGCCCCCAGTCACTGATCCCAGTGCCCCCAGTCACTGATCCCAGTGCTCCCAGTCACTGATCCCAGTGCCCCCAGTGACTGATCCCAGTGACCCCAGACACTGAGACCCACCACTCCCAGTGCTCCCAGTACAGGTTTTACTGGTCCAGGGATCCCAGGAGGTGACCCCCCCGTCAATGCACTGGAGATGGTTGAGCCGGGGGTGCCCAGTGCCACCAGTGCCCCCAGTGACCAATCCCAGTGCTCCCAGTCACTGACTCCCAGCGCTCCCAGCACTCCCAGTGCTCCCAGTGCTCCCAGTGCAGGTGTTCCCGGCGCGTGGGCAGCGCGGGACGACGCCCCCGTAGACGCGGTAGCGGTGGTTGAGCCGGGGGTGCCCGTGGAGGCCGTAGCGGGTGCCCAGGGCGCCCTGGGGGGCGGGTTTGTGGTAGAACACGCGTCGCACACGCGTGTGCAGCAGGGCCATGGCGCAGAGCGCGCACGGCTCCCGCGTCACGTACACGTCGCACCCCGACAGCAGGTACCCGGCGCTGCCGGCGGGGGCACCGGGGTCAACGTTGGTGGCGGCACCGGGGAGGACGTAACCGGTGAGGTCGGCGCCCGCCGGGAAGTCAACGGCCATGGGGAGGGCAATGGGGGGGGCGGCAACGTTGGGGGCGTCAACGGTGGGGGCGGCGAGGCTGGCCTTGGGGACATCAAGGTTGGCTTTGGGGACGTCAATGTTGGGGGTGTCAACACTGGGGGTGCCAACGTTGGCCTTGGAGATGTCAACGTTGGCCTTGGAGATGTCAACGTTGGCCTTGGAGACGTCAAGGTTGGCTTTGGGGATGTCAACATTGGGGACATCAACACTGGCCATGGGGACGTCAACATTGGCCATGGGGATGTCAATGTTGGCCTTGGGGATGCCAATGTTGGCCTTGGGGATGCCAATGTTGGGGGTGTCAACATTGGGGGTGTCAACGTTGGCCTTGGAGACGTCAAGGTTGGCTTTGGGGATGTCAACATTGGGGACATTGAGGTTGGCCTTGGGGACATCAACACTGGCCATGGGGACGTCAACATTGGCCATGGGGACGTCAACATTGGCCATGGGGATGTCAATGTTGGCCATGGGGACATCAAGGTTGGTCATGGCGGCATCAAGGTTGACCATGGGGATGCCAACGTTGGGGGTGTCAACATTGGGGGTGTCAACGTTGGCCATGGGGACGTCAACGTTGGGGACGTCACTGTTGACCATGGGGACATCAACACTGGTCATGGGGATGTCAAAGTTGACCATGGGGACGTCATTGTTGGCCTTGGGGACGTCATCGTTGGCCTTGGGGCCGCGCCGGGCGGTGGCACCATCCCCGTCCCGTGCGATGACGTCACCCCGGGCAGCGGTGACGTCCCCGTGACCAACGTTGACGTCCTCGAGCCCAACGATGACGTCATCGCCCCCAACGATGACGTCACCACGGCCAACGTTGACCTTCCCACACCCAACGTTGACCCCACACCCAATGTTGACCCCACACCCAACGTTGACGCTCCTGCACCCAGCGGTGCCACCCTGGTGCCCGATGATGACGTCACCATGACCAACGTTGACCCTCCCACACCCAACGGTGCCACCCTGGTGCCCAACGATGACGTCATCACACCCACTGATGACATCATCACACCCAACATTGACCCTCCCACACCCAACGGTGCCACCCTGGTGCCCACTGATGATGTCATCACACCCAATGATGACGTCATCACACCCAACATTGACCCTCCCACACCCAACAGTGACACCCTTGTGCCCACCGATGACGTCACTGCCCTCCCCGCGCCCCCCGATGACGTCACCGCCCCCCATGATGCCGTCCCGGCGCTGTTCCCGCGCCACGCGGGCGATGAGGTCGATGGCGGCGTGGCGCAGCGGGTGCCCCTCCCCCCGCCGGTCCCGCCCCACCCCCAGGACCCGCCCGCTCCGGGGGTCCACGGCCGCCGCCCCCTCCCCCCGCCCCGCCCCCGCCGCCGCCGCCGCCACCGCCATGGCCACGCCCGCCTGGAGCTCCTCCCCCGGCGAC